CCTCTCTGCTTTTTCTTCTTTTCTCCTTAGTCGAGCTGTTTCTTCTGCCACGTGCTTGAGCTCGCCTCGTACTATATCCATGGATGACATGAACTGAAAACTTTCTTCTTTAACTAAAGCTAATTCTTTCTTTGTTGCCTCGAACTCATCCTCGATGGACTCCAATGCAAGTCGAGACTCGGATGCTCTCTGTAATCTCTTGTCCATTTCCTTGATGTCCTTTACATGCTCTAACATTTTGATATCAGACATTGTAATAGCCAATTTTGCTTCCAACTCTTCAGAATCTTCAATTTCTTGGATCATTTCATTCATTTTCTTCCTAGTTTCCTCCAACGCATTTGAGTGTCTTTCAGCAGCTTCTTTTTTCTGAGCTTCAATTTCTTCGTATTCCTTAATGGCCTCGATTCGTGCCAACTCGACCAGCATGTGTTCTTCATTGATTTCATCAATCTCCTTAGTGAGTGATTCGACTGAACTCGAATAAGTAGTTATTTTAGACATAGAGGATTCTGCTTCCTTCTCCGCTCTTCCTTTTTCATCCAAAATCGAAGCCATGTCTAGCTTAAGCTTACTCAATTCTTGTTTAACAGATTTCAATTCTCTCAACACTTTTTCGGAGTTCCATTTTCCGTCACTTTTTTCACTCATTTTCAGTTTCTCCATTTCTCCCATCTGTGTTTTTGCTTGTAAATTCGATTCCTCAATTGCTGAAGTTAGGTTTTTTTCAGTCTTTTTTGCGGAAAAAAGCTCAGTTTCTGCTTGTGCTGTTACTGATTCTGCGAGTTTTCTGCTCTCGTTGAAATGGCTCATGTCCCGTCTCGCTTGGTGAAGTTCTCTTCTAGTTGGATACTGCTTCTACAATATGCAAAATGTACCATTAGACATGAAAAATAGTACCTAAAATTCAAGAAATTCATACCCAAAAAAGGCCTGAATAATTCTTTCCAATACCTCTGAATAATTTTTCTGCAATTTCTTCCCTACAGAATTGCTATCTGTAATCCTTTCTCCATAAGAATCCATAACTGAGCCAATCCCTCTTTCTTGCAATCCTCCTGAATCCATTTCCAATGGCCTGTGCTCGAATCAGTATAATTTTTTCCGTTCACGAATTTTAGGCTCTATAAAAACGATGTTTATGCAGGCAAAAGACAAGATGCTAAGCTAGACTCCTCCGATAAGTTACTCTACATGAACCATTTTTCTCGTTCAATCCACTACTAAAAGACCAAGTGACATCAGTTGAAATCCTTCAGAAAAGTTCTGCTCACACGTGAAATTTAGGCAATCAAAATGACAAAATACCATGTACTGCAATCAAAAGTATGTTAAGGATATCATCAAAATTGAATTTCTTCTACAAAATAATGCTGCTAAGCTCAACTCGCGATGAATTCTGGGTCGTCTACATGAACCCTTTTTCGATTCAATCTACTACTATATCTACAAGAAGATTGTACGCTCAAATCAATTGAAAATTTCCTTCCATGTGTGAATTTTAGGACAGAACAATATGCAGCATCATAAAAGGCAATTTCTACATGCAATAATGCTGCTACGCTCGATTTCAATGAGTTTGAGCTCGTCTACATGAATCCTTAACACAGAAAAATTCAATGGAAGTTTACCTATAAATAAATAAAAAAGGGGTCGAAAATCAGTTGCAGAAATGCGTACCTTAGACTTCTGCTAGAAATGAATGTGTAACCTGGCTGGAAGTGATTTTTATTCAGCTCTGTAAGTTCAATAAGAGAATATAACCATAAAACATTTGATTAAAAAGGGGCTCCTGATGACTGGCTATTATTGGTTGCATCACCAGCCATTGGATTTTTCCACGTGTACCCCAGCAAAAATTGATTCTACACGAATGTGGTTTGTTGGTGAAATGGAAAAATTCCTTGGAATGTTCCACCCGACAAGACTATTTTTCTTAGAACTCCTAGTATTTTTAGTCACATAGATTTGTCTTTAATTAGTGTCTTGATCTAGATTGAGGATCATTTACGCCATAAAACATTTTCTTCACAGCCAGTAGTTAGTGAAATAGATTCTCACATTTTCTCTCTTATATTTTATTTATTATACATATAAATGGTATTTTCATCTCGAGTTCTCGATACTTTTCTAGTGACAGATAAGTCGTCGTTTGAATAAGTTCTCGAGTTTTGTTGAATCATTCAAATGAGGATTTTTATCAGACCGGTTCTTTTTGGTATCACAGA